GTTCAAAATCACTGAGATTACCTTAGCCGAAGCTTCAAGAGCATCAATCATGTTATAATGTGCTGCACAGGACCTTGCCTCTTCAAGGGTAACCTCCCGGTTTTCAGCAATGTCAGTTTTGTTTCCTACTAATAATTTAATGACATTAGCTGGTGCGTATTTCTTCACATCTTCTGTCCATCGCACAACATTCTTGAAAGTGTCTTTCTTTGTAATGTCGTATGTTATTACAACAGCATTTGCACTTCTGTAGTAACTTTGAGTGATTGTTCTGAATCTTTCCTGGCCAGCAGTATCCCACACTTGTAACTAAAACAGAACAAACAAATTCAGCAGAATTAGTATTTCATGGTGTAGTCAGCCCACAAGCTAGAAGGCCAATCCTGTCAGAGTTTCAAAAGCATTAATTAACAAGAGGTATATTTCTCTTACTATCTGAGTTTGAGGACTATATTTAACAATTATTCCACGAGCGCGCATTGGATATGAGATGATAGATAGCCAACTCGGCACTACGCGCCTCGGCTATAATCATCTCATATCCAACAAGAGCGAGTGGAATAATTGTTTTATTAAATGTTAAATTAAGTTATTAAATTTTATTAAATTTTTAGCTCCCTTTTAATTTTAAGCTAACATGTATGCTTGCCATATTTGTATATTATGGTATATTGGCTAATATACCATGATGGCTAAGCCAATAAAAAGTCTTGAATTGCATTATCCAATGATCTAGTTTTTAATAATTTAAGTTATGGATCAAATTTTCTCAATTTTTCAATATTTGAAAACCCATGTTTGCATTTGCCAGACATCAGTCTGTTCATTTTTGCATTATTTTGTTCTTTGGTGTTCCACCAATCCCAAACAAACGATAATTTTAAGACTTAATTCTTCAGCACCTCAAAATATCATGATATAGCCAGAAAACAGGCCTTACTCTTGAACTCCCCAATTTGTAATTAAGTTCATTCTCCTCTCTCGCTGCTACACATTTTCTTGTAAGGAAAGTTACGAGAATTAGGTGTAGATCAAGATATTTTCTACCTGATAAGTTTGAGTATTCTCGTTACCTGTTTGTGGATATAGTTTGGATAATATAAGGAGAAGTTTCATGTTAATCACTTCTGTAAGTTAAAAAGTTAAGAAACTAGAAAATTGTTGATGTTTTCTATTTTCATTTGCCTTCACTTTTCTTTCTGGGAATTGTATTTAAACACCTAAAAATACTAATTACTTATCCACACTGTAATGACATGGGCATTTATAGAAGCACATGTAATATTTGTTAGTCTATTGGTCTTGCCTGTTTTTTAGGTTTTGGTGGTATCAATGATGTGAACAATCTGGATGAGCCAGTCTGTGAATCAGTATGGTACAATCCCGTTTCAAAAATTTTTAGTTCTGGACCCTGACGTGTAAAAATTTGTTATCCATGTTTCTGTTAATTATTAACTATTGGCAACCGACATTTCTGCATTTTGATTGTCATGGTGTAAATATTGGGGCGCCACCAACTGGGCTCTACATAAAGAAAATGACAGAAAATTCCTGTTGAGTTGTTTCATTCTAGGCGCATTTAGGAAATGTCGTGTTTATCTAATTACAATTATTTCTTGTTTAGAACATAAATAAAGTAACAAACCATTAGGGTCTGTGTACTTGACATGTATTTAGCACAAACCGAACAGTATTGTGTTACGTTCTATCTTGAACAGCTTCAAACAAATCGAGATAACCAAGTTAAAATCCTACCGCAGTGTTGATTGACAAAGAAGGGAGTTAAATCGATCGGTAAAGGAAGTGCGCCCCAATCAAAGTGATTGAAAAAAAAAAAAAAAAAAACCATTTTCAGACTAACTTGCATTGTTTGTACAGAAAGTTGAGGAGATATTAACAAACAGCTGTGGCGATTACAAATACAGGGAAGTTGACAGAAATCAGGCTAAAAATTTCGCGGAAAATTGAGCGTGACATCTATCTGTATAATGAGTTTAACTGCCTTGAACATATATCTTTATGTACATTTTACTTGTGAGTATGCACTGACTCCAAGGAAATTATAAATAAATGATGGATATTTAGACGCTCAACTCTAGGAGTCGAAAACGCTTGCTACCCAAGTCATTCGGGTAAAAAAAATATGAGATTTATATCTCGTCTGCTCTTGCCCTTACCTTGACTTTCTTTGTGTCAACAACGACTGTTTTCATCGTAAAATCAACACCGATTGTGCTGCCGTGTCGCTCGACGAAAGTCCCCTTTTTGAAACGTTGTACAATGCATGTTTTTCCGACACCTGGATCACCGATCAAAACTATTTTAAAAAGATAATCGAAGGAATCCTCCAGTTCGGCTGATTTCATCACATGAGAGGTTAATATTAGCAAAAAACTGATTGTACATTTAGGAGGGCAAGTTGTGACTATTTCGCTACCAACCGTTCAAATTTACATATTGTGTCAGTTCGTGCCCAGTCTTCGTTCAAGGAAGGAGCGTCAGAGAATCTCCAAAATTGGAATGGACTTCAAGTCACCACTTGGAACGAGTCCCTTGCGGGGAAAAGATGCGATTTTTCGCTTTTGCATCAATCCCAAGAAATAAGAATGGGTGAAATTGACATAAGAGTCATTGATCCACTTTAAAAAGTGGAAAAAAATTCGTTAAATATACGAGTCAGTGGTCCCTAAGATACCGGAATCGCGGAAGTGGCGGCCGGCGGTGCCTTCAAGGTCACCCACACGAAAACGAAGATCAGTCTTGAGTTTAAGTCCTGTCACGTGAAAAACAGATCATGTCACGTGAAAAAATGTCAGATCGTGTGAAAAAAATTATAAGTCACAAGAACAAAAATGACGGAAAAGTCGCTACTTTTTCTTTCGCCAACACTTTTTTTAGCAGCATGACAGTGATCAAACAAACGAAGCAAGCAAAAAAAATATTACCTTTTCGCTAGATTTTGAGTTTCTTTTCCCGGTTTGACACTTTTTGGATGATGTCAAGCGCCAACGTTTGGTTTTTCTAAATTTTAGCACTTCATTTTCTGGCGGCTTCCGTTCCTTCGCTTTTAAGTTTTTAAAGTTTCCTTTTATAGTTTTGACGCTTAGTTCTCTAGTTTTTCCGGTACAGCAGTCTTTATTTTCGTACACGTTATTTTCGTTAGATTATCAATTAATTTTATTTTCATTTGTACCCTTGATAATGGCGTCATGAAGTCGCCGAAACGTCGGGATATTATATCGTTCGTTTTTACCTGTCTATGTATTATCTTTGTATAAAAAGGATTTAAAGAGTTCACTTAAAATGGATCGTTTGCAAACCCTATCACTAACCGATCCTGTGATCCCAACAGTTTTACGGTGATCAATCAATCAATCAATCAATTTATTTAACGTGGTCAGAACGCTTAGCTAAAAGCTAGTTTACAGGTACGCCACGAAATAAAAAGAAAAAAGGAAATTATAAAGCCTTGTGAAGGTATATAAATTTAAATAAATTAAGAATTAAGAACTAGAATATATAAAATGTAAAATGTAATCATTAAAAACAGGCTAATATTAAAATATAAGAATTTAATAATGTAGTCAACGAGTTGAAATATAATTAAAAATAGATCCTCACCGCGCTAGAGTCCCGTGAGATCTAATGTTTTTAAGTAATTTTTAAAACTAGTAAATGTCTGTATCTTTCGAGACTCGTCCGGTAAAGCGTTCCATAGTTTCGATGCAGCATATCTCCATGATCTTAACCCGAAGGTTGTTGATTTTACTTTTGGGAGGTCCAGTATTGTGGTGCCCCTAAGATTATAAGTGGAGCACCTAACTGTTATAAGATCACGTAAGCTTTTTGGTCCTGCATCACTAGTTAATATCTTAAAGACAGTGGACAAAATTTTCGCTAATCGCTGTTCACGAAGACTTGAGAGACCGATACGCTTACAAAGTTCCTCATAAGGGGAGGACTTATCTCTAAAAACAAAACGGAGCGCACGTTTGTTCACCAACTCTAACTTGTCAGCTGATTTCTTATTACAGAAGTGCCACGTTTCGGAGCAGTAATTAAAGTGTGGTAAAATGAAGGCTTTGTAAAGATCCCTTCTAGTCTCGAAAGACAACATTTTCTGCATCCTTTTTAACACAGCCACCTGTTGACTGACTTTTCTACATATTTTAGCAATGTGCTTTTCAAAATTCAATTTATCATCGATTGTCACGCCAAGAAGTTCCATTGTGTTGGATATGGGAAGTGGTGACTCCTCACACTTAAACACTGGTTCATCAGTTCCTTTGTGTTTTCCCAACACCATTGCCTGGTATTTTGAACTGTTCCTCTTCATACCATTACGCGCGAACCATATATCAGCACTAATAAGATCGTTGTTGATTGTTTCTTCAATTTTGGAGAGTTGATTGTCGGCGTAAAAGATTTGAGTGTCATCAGCGTAAGTGGACAGAGTGCACTTCTCGATGACATATGAAAGATCGTTCATGAAGATGTTAAATAGTAAAGGGCCGAGGATGGATCCCTGTGGTACACCATTGCAAATAGGTTGCCAATTGGANCAAGACTACAAAGATCTGCTAGACATTATGCAGCTGGACGAGAGTAGTTCTGAAGGTTCGTTGTCGAGCAATGAAGATCTCGATTTCTTATTTCTTGAAGCAGCTTTGCATGCTTGGCCATCTGAACAAAGCCACGGCTAAGGAAACAAAATAAGCATTCATGTATTCACATATCATCGAAAATTGGCTTTTGTTTAACCTCAAAGTAATCAGACCGGCAAAACAGTTTTAACAACAAATAGCCGACCGCCATGTTTGTTTTCATTCATTCGTTCACTTCTATTTTACTGAGAAATCGTCTTCAAAATTACGTTTCTATGAAAAAGAATTCGATAATTAATAAGCGAAAGAGTTCTAAAACGTAGTATTTTCTCTCAAACGTGGGATTTTGATGTTTTAGGCTGCAAAAAACCTTGCGGTAAATCACTTACCTCTAGAGCGTGGTCCAGCCGTACAAACGTGAACCTGAAACTGCAAACCGACGGCAAGGCACTGGTCACGTGACTTCTTGACGTTAGCGGTTCGCGGGAAATGCCTAAAAACCTCTATCTTAAGGTCCCTAATATTCCATTCACATGACTTGGGTTAAGCGACGGGTCATTATTTTTATAAGCTGAAGGGATGGCAGGGGGTGTGTGAGAATTACTGATTGTATTGCAATCAAATTTACCTGATACCTCCTCATCAATCAATAATCATTGATCCTCCCTCCACTTTCCCTAAAAACCATGGGACCCCCCAAACCCCGCTCCTCTCCCCTCCCTTCAAGGCAAAAAATAATGACTGGTCCCTAAATAAAGCTAACACGAATGAGAGTGTGTTGCCATACACTTCAGTAAATCGTAAATGTTCATATACATAAACTTCATTCCACGCATGTGAACTTCTCTTCATTTACAAATACTTTACAATGTCTCGTAATGAACGGTTGTGGTTGATGAACGTGGTGAAGAACCATCAAAACAAAGTATTAGTGTTTGTCGCACGATGTAGTTATTTATGAAGTGGATCGCGATGTTTCGACTAGTCATTAACAGACAAAGAGATTGAGTGGCCACAACCGATGTTTGGCCGCGTTACGGAACACTTTCGCTGTGGTACAGAGCGCGTTTCGTGACGACACCAAACATCAGCCGCGGGGAAGACTAGTGATTACGCGTCCCTTTATGCAGCACTACTCTCTACTGTCATTGGTCGGCTTTTCACAACCAATCAAAGCGTTTCTTTCATGGTTAAAGGAACTTTGCCCTTTGTTGGATAAAAAAAAAAAAAAAAAAA